GTCTGTATGGACACTGGGTCTGCAAAAAAATTCCTGTTTCTTTTACAGAGCAGCACATTTTTTATGCTGAAGTAGAAAACAAAAGTAGCCTCAAAGTTCTTTTCTTTGTAAACAATTCAAAGCACTTATAAAAATGCAACAGGAATACAAAACATGAATCAAACTGAAGAGGAAGGAAGCTAAACTTAAAGACGTTTTACTTCATGTGCTTTCGTCCTCAGGTATTTTCACTGCTCCTGTCAGAGGAATGTATTACTTCAGTTTCTCAGGTCACAACATTTCATCTCGACCAATGGGGCTGCAGCTGATGAAGAATGGACAACAGATGGTGACCGTGTACAATCACGTTGCTGGAAATCGCCACGAGACGGCGACCAATGGGATGACTCTGAGGCTTGAACGTGGAGACCAGGTGTACATGAGGCTGACACAAAACACCTGGATTTTTGATGATTTAAATGACCACAGCACCTTCAATGGTCATCTGTTATTCTCCCTGTAAGAGTTAAGGAGCTGAAATCACTGCAAAAAGTAAAAAAAAAAAAAAAGATTTAAGTAGTTTGATTTTTCTGTAAATATTCCCTTTTACTTGTCTTGTTGAAATCATGTTGTCAAATAAAATGTTATTCTGTTGAATTTACATGAAATCAGGATGATCTGTTGTAAAATGTCAAATGAACATAAATAATATTTGACTTGTTTTATTATTGTTAAAAAAGATACTCTAACTCTTCCTGTCATCTCAACAACCCTACTTAACTTCAGTGAAATTCATTTTATCTGAGGTTGACTTGCTATAAAATCTTAAATCAAAACATTGTCTACATCATGAGTCCTCATAGTGGACCTGCCAGTGCCACATAATGAGTTTTGGCCCAGTTCTGGCCCACATGAGGCACGGACGCTCCAAAACTCAGCCCAGATAAYGCAAAGAATGCGTTCTTTGGTGGCCCAGATGTAGTTTGCCAGAAGTGGTCCATGAATGGGTCAGCACCACATAAACCAAATCACAACTGGCCCTTTCTTAAAAAAACAAAAAACAAAAAGCAGTGCCATCATTGCCAGACCTGGCCCACATCTGGTTGACAAACCACCAGCAGTGCCAGCTTCTGGCAAATTTTTGATGACAGTCAATAAAGAAGAACTCAAACTGAGACAATCACCTATTTGATGAAAGGATAATTTTCAGTTGAACAAATATCTGTACAGGGCCAGGGCCTCATTAAACTGAGCCATGCCTTCACTGTCCTGTGGTTGGTCTGTTTGAACTATAATTTCTTAGCGACACAATGACAGAAGGTGCTGAATAATAAAGGGGACATATCATACTTTAAAATCCATCTTTTTCCAGTTTAAACCATTCAGCTGGGTCTATATAAAGTGGAACTGCAACGCTTTTGGTCTGAATTCCTCCTTATTGTAACTCCACAAGCCCCTCTTTCACCACTTTTCTGACGTGTGTCTCAGATCAACTCGTTTTGACGCTGCCTCTTTACACCCAAACAAGGCACTTCACACCTTGYCCCACTCCAGCTTCCAGAGAGGTCTATTCTAGTTTGATAGCGGGGATTTCGACCAAAGATATATAAAGGCTAGATAAGTCATACTCGCTGTTGGCCAATGGAGACCGACGTCCTCACACGGCGGCCATCTTGGAACGGGGAGCTCACCCACTCTTAACATGAATGTGTATTCTGTATTCACTGTTTAATTAACCATAACTTGGTCAATTTTGAACGGTTTTTCAAACAGATTTTTTGTTGTTGTAAAAGTGAGACATGTTATAAAATGGCATACTTATAATGGACATATAATAATATCATTATCAAAAAGAAAAAAAATTCTACCTGGATTACTGAGATGCATCAGGACAATATCATTTAATTATGTTATTTTGATAGGTAAAGGCCCTGTGATGGACTTGCGACCTGTCCAGGGTGTACCCCGCCCCTCGCACTGTGACTGCTGGATATGGGCACCAGTGAACCACACAACCCTGAAAAGGAAGAAGCGTGTACAGAAAATGGATGGATGGATGGATGATAGGTAAAGTGATATCAATATATACACAGAATACATTTAGGTTACCTTTACAGTTATTTACAAATAAAATATAAAGCAAAATTATACACAAGTCCATAAAAAATAGTACAAAATAGTATTAGCAGTGGTAATTAATATGAAAAAAAGCGGTAATTTGTAATCTGTAATTTCATTGTGCTCTGTACAATGACAATAAAGGTCTATCTAATCTAATCTAATCTAAAACCCTGTTTTATATGTTTTATATTTTTCCCTAGACATGCAAATATTAGCCTTTATAATTCCTTTACATAATAAAATAGTGCCCCCTCCCACACACACACATATACACGTTTAAAACTTGCTCAATTTTCAACCGATTTTAAAATGGTTTTATTTGGGGTAAATGTGAGAGATGTTATAATACAGCATACATAAACTGGACGTTCAAATGGAAACAACACTATGAAGATACTGTAGGTAAAGCTACTGCAATATACACAATAAGATTATATTTACATGCATTTAGAAAAATTAACCGACATATGTTTGAATGCTGATAAATAGTATTGTAATAATATTTCATAATAAATAGTAATAGTAGTCAATATGAACTAATTTATGCCCAGTTTTTCCCCATACATGCAAATATTAATATGATGWACCTCTATAACTAATATTAGCACTAAATAACACTAACTCATATTTTTTAAAAAGAAAAACTGCTGTCTGATTAMTCCAAATCATAGCCTCATTTATAATGCTTATAATAAACTAAGCTGTTWGTAAATCCATCAAGATTTCAGTGAATTACGCATTTTTATTTTTATTGRAAATCACTCACCTCAATGCATTTACCACAGCTACAGCTAGTGTTAACCGTCCTAAGATGGCCGCCGTATGAGGACGCCGGAGACTCCGCTATGACTTATCTGGACTTTATACATCTATGATTACGATTATATAGCGGTGCAGAAATGTTTTATTTACAAACTGATTAAAAGATGTCAACAACGGAAGACTTGTTCAACCAGTCTTACATGTTGGAGCCAGAATGAAGAATGGAGAATGATGAYGACCAAATTGTTCAGGATGAAGAGAAGTTTTCCAGGGTGCAGATCAGWATAACTCTAGTCTATACTTCTCAGATGACTCCTTGTGTAATTAGCTCCATTTTGACTTACTTTAAATCAATATACACATTTTCTATAATGTGAGGGCCGAGCACACTCTGAAACTCGTTCACTTCATTGGTTTAATTCCTGCTTTAAACTGATCAAATATTTAGGCTGCAGTTGAAAGTAATACGTTTCAGAACGTTACACGGTGAGGTCGTGACCCTCTGTTGTCCAAGAGCAGATGAGCCGTGTGACGATGCATGTTTCAAGAGGAACTGTTTATCTGTTTCAACATTTTGTAGAGCTGAGGTGACGCTGCACAGGAAGTGCCATATCCTCCACCCTTCCTCTCCTCTCGATGCCTCCAAGGCCCGATATACCAACGAGCTGTTGCTGACGGATTTGCATGYGGTGAAAAGCTACAACAATTGACAGACTTTATGCTAAAAACATTACGTGCTGCAGAGAGCGAGCTGAAAGCAAACTTACTTTTAGAATCCAAATTTCCAGCTCTAAATGGTTCAGTAACTGAACTTGTAGTCACTTTTTAGGGACATAAGAAAAAAGCAAACACAAAATGTTATTTTGTTGTGATAAAGGTGGAATAAAAATTGTTTCTTTTGGCCGCTGAGTAATTTAAAAACTGTGATTCCTGCTGAGTTAAGTGTCACAACTGCAGAAATCTATGCTGTGAAGAAATCCACGGGTCTGGAATAACAGAACCCATGATGCACATCAGGGGTTGTAGTTGCTGCTGACAGCAAAATGTCGCAACGATTGTTACGAAAAAATAAAAATGTCTGCCAAAATCTGGGTGAAAAGTTGCCAAAATGATTAGACTTTCTGACATTGTTTTTGTGCTTGTGTAATCGGCTAAGGCATTAAAAATGTTTGCAAAATTCAACCAGCAACAGTCAAGGTTCTCAGGATTTAAGGTTTTAAGGGCTAAAAGTTTAAAAAGAGTTAAAAAAGCTGCTGCTTTAAACAGTGCCACTGATGCCATCATTTGGAGCAAAATTTGAAAAACCTGCTGCTGATTTTAAATCAATATCAAATTAAAGGTTTTAGCATTTCTTAGCTTCTCCAGTTTTCATTATGGAATTTTAAAAGGGAACCAAATATGAAATGTAAAAGAGCAATTTTGGTCCAAACTTGAAAACGTTATAATTTCATTCCTGTGTGATCTTGCACAATTCATGAATTGGATTACATGTAAATGACTCTCAGCTATGACCACAATAAATTGTAGTCGATCACCTGTAAAATTAACCATACTGTAGACCTTTTTGTGTTGGCTAACGTAAACCTTAAATTTGATTGACTCCAACAGTTAATCAGATCCTTTCTGGAAATTTCAATAAAATCCCTTCAGTGATTCCTGAGATATTTTGTTAACAGTATAGACAAATGAAAACACACAGACATGATTTCTCCACTTTTTGCCTTCAGCTGTGGGTTATGATTAATGTGGTCTGATCAGACCCAGTAATATACAGTAATCCCTCCACATGTTTCTGTTCAGTTTTGCAAAGAGACACACTAACGTCACAGAGTTACCTTTAGATCTTATAAAACTGTTATCAGTTTATCATTTTTATCAGCCCATAGGTTATAATTGTTGATAAGGCTGAGGCAGTTATACTTTGGATAAGTTTGAATATTTTAGTCCATCTTATTTGTCCGACTACTTTCAGTGGTTCTGTTAAACAAAAACTACAAACTCAGCGGTTTGCAGTTTTGCACATTTTAGCATTTCAGCTCTCCAGAGTAGCTCCAACAGAAAACAAAACCACTGCTTTTGATTGAGGTCACGAGACGTCTGAGAGCAATTAGTCTGATGTTTTACAGCGCTCTTCGAAAGCAATTTAAATCTGTGCTGCTATAAAATGTAAATACATATCATTTTCAAATGCTTTGGAGCAAAACATGATTAAAAAAAGGTCCTAAAACACCACTTAAAATAGCATTTTAAACTGTGATCACTCCCCTTTTCCTTTTAATAAAACTTACCAGGACAGCAATAGCTCCTGCAGAGCATAAGAAAAAAATGTTAGAAGTAGCAAACCCTCTCTGCAAAAATTTAGGTGGTTTTGACAGGAACCTCTCAGAAAAAAACAGTGTTTGCATCTGAAGGGACACTTGCAGCAGCAGCTAACAGCTCAGTCTGAGAAGCGACTCATTGAATCCTTGTCAACAGCACGCATGACTGAGTGAACTTGGCTCGGGATATAAAAAGCCCTCTCTGTTCACTAGTTTCCAGCCAAGAAAACATGCGGTGGGAGAAGGGGAAGCAGCTCACCCCGGCTGAAACGCACACGGACCGGGAGCTCAGCGATTTAACCAAACAAGTGGACAGAGACGAGGTCTTTTTAAATCTCAGACGTCAGAACTGCAGTGACTCCAGGCTCATTTTTAAGTGTCAAATATAAATGTTTTTTTTTCCTGTCAGCTGCTAGCATTATTACTTCACATCTTTAAGGTTATTAAATGTCATTTAAGCACTGGCCTAAAGTAAAAATCTTCACTGATAAGTCATTGTTGGCATTTTTTATTTTGAGGACATATTTTCTTGCGTTTTTCAGCTGTTTTCCACCTTCCAGCTTATTTTTGTTTTGCACCTTGGCTGATTTTTTGAATCACTTTCAGTCCAATGTGACTATTTTCAGAGGAATGAGCTTTAAATTTTGAACTCTGACCCCTGAACTCCAGCTATGATCCTGCATCAACCCCAGACCCAGTGTTAAATAGTTTTGGTAACCATTTGTTCCCTTCTCTTTACAGAAATCTCTGGAAAAATACCAAAGACAACACAGTTTGACAAACATTAAATAGTATTTTAGCTCCGAACTTCACAACCAGCAAATTATCAGTGAAACTATGATACATCTCTAGGATTCTGTTGTTTTCCTGTTTCTTTTAGATCCTATTCAATTTGCAAAACTCATTTTGTTCACTTCACTCCTTTTTGAAGCCCACACTGCACAACAAGCAATCAGGTACAAGAACAAATCAGAAAATGAGTAAATAAAAGCCAAAGCAAAGAGGAAAAAACGTAAAGGACCTTTTATAAAACTTGAACTGCTGATCAAGACCACTTCAAAATGTTACAAAAAGGTCTGACTCAGCAAAGCATAAAGTATTTTTATGTCACAAATTCCTTAAAAATCTTTAGTTTTTGTCGTTTTTTTTCTTTAGTCCTAAAGAAATCTGTTCCTGGTTTTTGCTGCCTACATCAGTATGAAAGGGTTTAATTATTATTGAAGAAATTCTCAGACTAATTAGGAACATCCATCCATCCATCCATCCATTTTCTGTACACGCTTCTTCCTTTTCAGGGTCGCGTGGGTCACTGGTGCCCATATCCAGCAGTCACAGTGCGAGGGGCGGGGTACACCCTGGACAGGTCGCAAGNCGCTTCTTCCTTTTCAGGGTCGCGTGGGTCACTGGTGCCCATATCCAGCAGTCACAGTGCGAGGGGCGGGGTACACCCTGGACAGGTCGCAAGTCCATCACAGTAATTGATGGAATTAGGAACAAACAGTGACAAAATAAATTCAACATAAAAGCCTTTAAGTAAAATGAAAACAAAAGGAAAAATCAAAAAAAGGCACAGCACGCAGAGTTACGGAAAACGTGTTCTGTATTACAAGTCTCTCAAAATTGACATGTGGATGGCAGGAAAAAAAATTGCCCAAAAGGAGAAGTACAATTACAGTAAAGTCAAAAATATCACATTTTAGAAAAGGGGGAAACAAAGTCTACACAATAATAATTCAAACATGGCTTGCCATTCATTGAACCAAAATCGCAGCGGGTTAAGATATTCTGTTGTTCTAGTACCTCTGGAACAAAACAAAATAAAACAAAACGAAAAAAAAAAAAAGCCTGAATTGGACCCAGAAACTGCAGGCCTACTTATAAACTCAGCATCCAGGTGGTAAAATAGAAACTTTTTGCTTTTTAAATCGACACCAAATGATACCAGAGTGCAGGGAGAGAAAAAAAAGGGTAATTCTTCAAAAGTTTTGATTGCCAGTAAGACRCACTGCAGAAGAAGGTTGGCACAGTCACAGGTTGATTTCTGAGGGAAGGCACTTGACATGGGGGGGTCACGCCACGGTGCTCCCCATGCAGCCACAGCAATGCACCCAGGTCCTCGTTTGTGAACACTGAGGAGGAACAGTCAACTAGGTGCAAGTTTTAAAGAAAAAAATCACTAGATCATAAATGAAAAAAAAATAATAATAACACACACAAAATGTGTTGTCTTAAAACAACTCCACGCCATGGCTTTAAATGCTCGGAGGAACTGAATTTCGCACAACACCGGGTTTACATGAGGACTGGGCCTGTGCAAGGCTTGAGTGGTGATTCATCTTCTGAGAGTTTTAAAAATGCTTTCAGACTTCAAAAAAGGTGGGACTGATCCCACGCAGGGGGGGTGGATTTGGTATAATAAACCCTATTTATCATCATCATCACCACAGCCAATCTCAGCCCAGCAAAGTTAACAGAACAACTGAAAATAACAGAGATGAATTAGAATAAAGAAAACCAGAAAACACGTGACTCTTAGGTTTCACAATTAGACATTCCCACCGAGGCACATTTCCAAGAAAAATACAAAGCTATGTATTTATATATATATGTATATATAAAAATCCAAAAAACATTCAAGTACTTTATCATGTAAACACTTCTCCAGACTATCATACACGATTGTTGTCCGTTTGTGTTCTCTGTGCAACAATAAGACAACCGTGTGAGGAGAGAGAAATACTTTTAGCCCAAAGGGAAAAGAAAATGAAATGAAAAGAACAACTTGTTGGCTCTAGATGAGCAGGATTTTCAGAGCAGGACACAGGAGCAGCATTTGTCTCCGCCGCTGGGAACAGCCGAGTAGTTCATCTGCCTCACGATCTCTGCGAACAGTTCGTCCACAGAGCCTTTCGTTTTGGCCGAGGTCTCCATGAAGGGGCAGCTCCAGTCCTGGGCCAGGGCTTTCCCCTCCCCGGAGGACACCTCGCGCTCGCCCTCCAGGTCCACCTTGTTGCCCACCAGGATCATGGGCACCCTCTCGTACCGCTTCACCCGGATGATCTGGTCCCTCATGGGCCTGATGTCCTGGAAGCTCTGCTGGTTCACCAGGCTGTAGACCAGGATGAAGCCCTGGCCGTTCTTGATGTACAGGTCTCGCATGGAGGCGAACTGCTCGGTCCCGGCCGTGTCCAGGATCTCCAGCACCGACGGGGACGAGTCCACCTCGATCTCCTTCCTGTAGAAATCCTCGATCGTGGGGTCGTACTTCTCGATGAACGAGCCCGTCACGAACTGGACCGTCAGGGCGGATTTGCCGACTCCGCCCGAACCCAAAACAACCACTTTGTACTCCCGCATGGCTAGAGAGGGGGTGGGGGGGACGGAGGCGGAGGGGGAGAGAGG